CTAGCCTTCCCTTTGTGGTATGGTATCTTGCAGTACAATTTCAGAGAGATCCATACACTTGAACACAAGTTATTGTCTGGAAACTAGAAAAATGCTTGTTTTTGGCCCCTTTTTGGCCCCAAATTCCTAAACGTTTAGGGCAATTACCCCCAAACTCAAACCCAGCTTTCCCTTTGTGATATGGAACCTTGCAGTACAATTTCATAAAGATCAATACACTTACACACAAGTAATTGTCCTGAAACTAGAAAAATGCTTGTTTTTTTGCCCTTTTATGGCCCCTAATTCCTAAAATTTTGAAGGAATTACCCCCAAAATCAATCCCAGCCTTCCCTTTGTGGTATGGTACCTTGCAGTACAATTTCAGAGAGATCCATACACCTGAACACAAGTTATTGTCTGGAAACTAGAAAAATGCTTATTTTTGGCCCCTTATTCCTAAACTTTTTGGACAATTACCCCCAAACTCAATTCCAGCTTTCCCTTTGTGATATGGTACCTTGTAGTACAATTTCATAAAGATCCATACACTTACACACAAGTTATTGTCATGAAACTAGAAAAATGCTTGTTTTTTGCCCCTTTTTGGCCCCTAATTCCTAAAATTTGGAGGCAATTACCCCCAAAATCAATCCCAGCATTCCCTTTGTGATATGGAACCTTGTGATACTATGTCAGAGAGATCCATACACTTACACACAAGTTATTGTCATGAAACTAGAAAAATGCTTGTTTTTTGCCCCTTTTTGGCCCCTAATTCCTAAAATTTGGAGGCAATTACCCCCAAAATCAATCCCAGCATTCCCTTTGTGATATGGAATTTTGTGGTACAATGTCAGAGAGATCCATACTTTTACACACAAGTTATGTCTGGAAGTTACAAAAATGCTTATTTTTGGCCCCTTTTTGGCCCCTAATTCCTTAACTGTTGGTACCATAACCCCCAAAATCAATCCCCACCTTCCTTTTGTGGTATTGAACCTTATGGTAAAATTTCATAGAGATCCATTCACTTAAACTAAAGTTAGAGTGCGAAAACTAATGTGTCTTAGGACGACGACGACGATGCCAACGTCATACCAATATACGACCACAAAATTTTTTTTGCGGTCATATAAAAAAGACACTTAGTACAAATCTGAGAGTACTCGCAGTTACTGACAGCTAGTTCAAAGCCAATAACAACTAATAAAAAAATCATCTATCTAAGACTAAAATATCAATCAGTACACATCCAACATCCAATGGGTTTAGTGTAAAGACGTCATTAACAGTCAGAGAAAAACATGACCTTGTGCAATGCCAAAATATAAATATCGACAGATTGAAAAAGTACATATATGTGTAATATTTAGTATGGTTTTAATTTACCGATTACAAAATTAATATTTATACCAATAAAAACAATATTCAAAAATTTAATTACAGTGTTGAAAAGGTAACCTTTTAGAACAAGTTTATTTAAAGAATTGATAAGTTTACCCGGATTGTATCTAAATTTCATGGCTTGGTTAACAACATCAATGTAAAATTTAGGATGTGCTATTCTGTTTGAAATAAGTTTTCTACATGTACAGCCAAACTTGCAAACCAAATCTTTGTATTTATGGAAAATTTAGTAAAGGTTTTAAGTAATTTCAGGGGTTCAAATTTACTTTAGGCAATAATGGAAGGTCCAGGACCTTTGACCAAAAATACTAATACATGTAGATCCTCCTTTAATCTTAGAAGGTCCAATTTTAATTGAAAATTCAATTTATAAAAACAGAAAATGAATTCCAAACCACTCATCATATCTTAGTACATCAACCTCATTTCTTTTCTGAATTTCTCAAAAAATTCAGTCAAAATAAGGTTTCCCCTTTTTCCCAACACTTTATGCTGTGTTAAGTAACACTTTGTAACTTTTTAATTGTTCTGGTTTTTTGTCCAATGAACCGAGAAACTTTCCCTTTGACTGTGCGTGGGATAAACCAGTTGCCTCATCCAGCCAAAGGCGATTAACCTTCCATTAGGGCAGTAAAGTTACATATATATGTTAAGATTATTTAATACTAAATTTTTATATCTGTTCTGCAAAAATATTAGATTATTTAACGAAAAAATATCATCAAGATAACGGTAAATGTTGTTCAATTTAATATTAAATGGAGTTTAGACGATTCTTTAATGAGTTTGGCCACAAACTGCGCTTCATAACAGTATAGAAACAAGATTGATATTAAAGGGGCACAATTGGTGCCCATAGGAATACCTACAACTTGTCGATTAACTTTATTGCCGAGACATACAAAAATGTTGTCAAGGAGAAAATTTAGGGCTTTAATCATCTCATCACACCTCCAGTAAGTATATCTAGCATATTTACTTTTCTTATTTAAGAAAAAGGTTTTATGAGACGCAGCGAATAAATTTGCAATCAGATTTATCAAACGACCATTTAATTAGTTGGGAAAACTTTCATTTGATAATATTGTGTGGAAGTGTAGTATAAAGGGTGGAAAAGTCAAAACTGTCAACCGAATCAAAAGAAACATCAAAAGCACGTAATTTATCTAAAACATCCAAAGAATCTTTTACACTCCAAAAATGCATATAACCAAAATGTTTTAATTTAAATAGAGGGCAGCATGAACTTTTATTAAAATCTCGCACCCGGAGTTGGTCCTCAGCTGGCCCCTAGATAAAATTGTGTACTAGTTCAGTAAAAATGGACGTCACACTAAACTCCAAAACATATAAATGAACTAAAATTAAAAAAAATACAAGACTAACAAAGGCCAGAGGCTCCTGACTTGGGACAGGCGCAAAAATGCGGCGGGGTTAAACATGTTTTGTGAGATCTCAACCCTCCCCCTATACCTCTAGCCAATGTAGAATAAAGAAACACATTGCAATACGCACAGTAAAACTCAGTTTAAAAGAAGTCTGAGTCCGATGTCAGAATACATGTAGGTAACAAAAGAAACTAAGCAAAATGACAATGATACATAAATGAACAAAGGACTATATATATAGCTCCTAGCTAGCAGTTACTGACATGCCAGCTCCAGGCCTCAATTAAACTGATTGACAGATTATGTCTTCATCATATGAAAATCAAGTACAATCCCTCCCGTTAGGGGTTTAGTATCATACCATCATAAAATATATGAGAAGAACACAACCCGTTTCATGCCAACAACTGGTTTTAGAATAAATGTGTTTATTTCCGATGCAAAGACCCTATGAATGAATCAATATTAATACCAAAATATGCAATCCTTAATGACTTGACAACAGTATTGTAACTATATCCTTTCCGAATAAGTCTGTTTAAAGGTTTGGTTAGCTTTTGAGGTGAATGCCGACATTTTTGTGCTTTGTAAAGAATATTACCATAAAATATTGGATGTGATATACCTGAAAGTAGAAGATGTCTGCATGTTGATTTATATTTACGAATGATGTCCTTGTACCGATGATAAAATTTAGTAAATGTTTTGACTAGTTGTGATATCGAAAACCCTGGTGTAATAATTTTTTAGTAATACAGAGATTTCTTTCGTTGAAATCAAATATGTTGTTACATACACGAGCGAATCGAACAAGTTGAGATATATAAACACCATAAGATGGCGACAAGGGAACGTCACCATCTAAAAATGGATAATTAACAATAGGAAATGAAAAATCATCTCTTTTATCATAAATTTTGGTATTAAGCTTCCCGTTAAAGATAAAGATATCAAGATCCAGGAAAGGGCAGTGTTCATTGTTAGTATTAGCTTTATTTAAAGTCAGTTCGGCAGGATAAATCTCTTTGGTGTACATACTGAAGTCGTCATTATTGAGAGCCAATATATCATCTAAATATCTAAAAGTGTTATCAAATTTTTGAATCAGATGTTGTTTCGATGGGTCTTTGCTGATTTTAGTCATAAATAATGATAAATTGTAACTCATAACAATACAGAAACAGGTCCGCAATAAGTGGTGCACAGTTAGTCCCCATGGGAATTCCGATAACCAGACGATATACGGAATCTCCAAAGCGAATAAAAAATGTTATCTAGTAAAAATTCAAGGGCAGTTATAGTATCAAAGCAGGTCCAATTGACATAGTTCTTTTGTTTGTTGTTCAAGTCTGATCATTTGAAGATATTGTTAGGGATGGGGCAAAGTTTTTGGATTAATCACTATATGACAGATGCCCGGTGTAATAATGTTGGTAGGACATGTCACCATACCATATCAAGACTATATAATAATAAATCCTTGTTTATTAAGGGGACGAAGTTCCCTATAACGGTAGAAAAATCAATAAAAAAAAAAAAAAAAAAAAAATCGGGAAAATTTCCCGAAATTTTCATTCTACTAATGAACTCAAAATCGTTAACTTTTTTATTTTCCCGCATTTGCGCAGAAATCTACTTCCTTTTTCCGGTCTCGTTTGCATGTGTCTTTGAGTAAAATATATATTTATCAGTCTAGTAAAATATAGGAAGGAACGCAATACCAATTCCATTTTTAATAATTCCTTGAATGGCTTGATATGAAAAAACGTTACCTGATCGCGTTTCTTTGTTTACATTGAATATGACGTCATAACATAAATAACGTCACAACTAAAATTCCGAACAACAGAACCGAAATCGGAAACGTAAGGGTATTTCCGTTTCTTTTTTTAACAGATTTTGAAGTTAAAATATGTTTGAATTAAAAAGAAATAATTCATACAGACTTCGTCCCCTTTCACAGGTAATGCCTGCCTCATATTATATGTCAAAAATACACTTTACATGTACTTTTATTTATTAAAATAAAGACAACCCGGATTCCAATTTCCAGTGATACTAATCATTAAGAGGTCACATATCCGTTGCCCTTCAAAATATGACGTGTTACAAAAAACTGCTAATTGCACCCGTACACATGTTAAACAGTTCCAAGCATGGCAAATTAAAACATCATATGTTAGATTATTTTAACTTGGGGTGGCTATAATTATAAATAAACACCTTTAAGTATGCATCTCGTAGCTTCCTTTTGGAGTTTGGATTTAAAATTTTTGTGTTTGAACACATTATTTAGTGTCCCATATAATGTATTGTCCGCCTCTTCATCCATAAATATAAATATCTTTTCTGTCGACTTGGCAGATTAGCAGACTTAATTTTTAATCAATGTCAATATCGAACATCAAATAAGGCCCAAATAAGACTGTTTTGAATCACTTAAGTAAGCGCACATGAGACATCGATAGTAAAGTCTTTTCTACCCTTTTCATTTACCTCACGATAACATACGATGGGTTTCGAATGAATAAAATTGTTAAAAAAAAAATTGCCTAAAGGATTAGACTGTTATAAATGTCACTCTATTATAAAAGAAAGTACTTAAATATGATTTGAATACACAGGCTAAAAAGTAAGTATCAGGATGGAAATTTGAAATGTTGAGTAACTACTGATTTGCATATGATTTCTAATGATATCTAGCCAAAAGGCAAAACGACTTTAATTTAAACGTCCATGTTCTGACTCGATACTGTGATACATGATATGGTCATTATGGATGATATAGACACAAGCTTGCTCCCGTTATATGTCAATTGTAAAGAATTTTTCGAAACCTGGAAAAGCAAGTCATTTGGGTGTAATATGTTAAAAGTTAGTTTTTTGTTAACTATTAGTATAATTAGTTATATCCTGATACATGTACATGTGTATAGTTTATATGATCCGTTCATCCTATTTCAACTCTTTAAAATTCAAGAGTCTATCCTAAATTCAGGTAAATTATATGGCCTTCCAAATACCGTTTCAATCCCTAACATCACTGAAGAGACATTAATTTTCGAAATCCGGATATGGTGTACAAATTTTTGCACCTCATGTTTGCGGTATATACCATCTTTTCCACAAGTTTATTGTTTTCTGTTTGGTATTAAATTAAATATAAGATCCATGTTACATCTGGTGATCAATTTATTTGGCAAGATCGTCAATGGCAGTCAGCAGGGTTTAAGAACATCAGTTGTTTGACCTGTTAGTCAAATGGGTTTTGTTAAAATATACTTTTCACTTTTTTGGTCTTTTGGAAAATGTTTGTGCTGTATTTAGAGCCCTCTACCAAGAAATTTGTTTTACATGCACACGTATAAAAATTGCGGTTTTTATCCAATGCAATCATAGGTTTGAACGTTGTTTTCAATATATACATGTACATAATTTTGTATCTGTCAGCTGTTGCAAGTGGAATCCTGGTCATTTCGCCCAAAATCATGTTTGCGCCCATTCACGTTCGCCCCCTTTCACTTTCGCACCCTACACATTCGCACCCAAAGTCCGTTCGCACCCTTTTTAGCTCACCTGGCCCCTTTGGGCCAGGTGAGCTTTTCTCATCACTTGGCTTCCGTCGTAGTTAACTTTTACAAAAAACATCTCCTCTGAAACTACTGGGCCAAATTTGACCAAACTTGGCCACAATCATCATTGGAGTATCTAGTTTAAAAAATGTGTCTGGTGACCAGTCCAACCAACCAAGATGGCCGCCATGGTTAAAAATAGAACATAGGGGTAAAATGTAGATTTTGGCTTATATCTCTGAAACCAAAGCATTTGGAGCAAATCTGATGGGAATAAAATTGTTCATTAGGTCAAGATCTATCTGCCCTGAAATTTTCAGACCAATCAGGCAACAAGTTGTTGGGTTGCTGCCCCTGAATTGGTAATTTTAAGAAAATTTTGCAGCTTTTGGTTATTATCTTGAATATTATTATAGATAGAGATAAACTGTAAACAGCAATTATGTACAGCAAAGTTAGATCTACAAATAAGTCAACATGACCAAAATTGTACCCCTTAAGGAGTTATTGCCCTTTATAGTCATTTTTTTACAATTTTCATAAATTTTTGTAAATTTTTACAAAATATTTTCCACTGTAACTACCGGGCCAAGTTCATTATAGATAGAGATAATAGTAAGGAGCAAGAATGTTCAGTAAAGTAAGATCTACAAATGCATCACCATCACCAAAACACAATTTTGTCATGAATCCATCTGTGTCCTTTGTTAAATATGCACATAGACCAAGGTGAGCGACACAGGCTCTTTAGAGCCTCTTAGTTTAGGGATCCGAAAGGAGGAGAACATGCAAAATGAAATGCAATAACTAAATTATGATGAATCTTCTTACAAAGTCACATGAAATAATAATAATAATAAAAAACAATTTTTTATGCCCCCGCCATAGCGGAGGGGGCATTTAGTTTTACCCTTGTCCGTCTGTACGTATGTCAGTACGTCCCAAAATTGGTTTCCGCTTTTCTAACTTTAGTTTGCCTCAACCAAATGTTATGAAACTTATACACAATGCTTATTACCACAAAACACAGGTCAAGTTTGAATTTTGGTGGCGTCACTTTTACCATTCTAGAGTTATGCCTCTTTACAAATGGAAAAATTGCTGAATTTTTCATTTCTGATCTCTTAGTTTGTCTCAACCAAATGATATGAAACTTATACATAATGCTCATTACCACAAAACACAGATCAAGTTTCAATTTTGGTGGCGTCAATTTTACCGTTCAAGAGTAAAGCCCCTTTACAAATGGAATAAATTGCTACGCTGAGTGCAGCTGGATACGACCGCAGATGTCAACCCTGAAAAGTTGGGCCAAAATGGACACAATATTCACGCTTGATACAGGTCTGAATTTGGATTGTAACTAAATTTTTGACACATAATAAGTTTCTGACACAGAATAACTGTAGTCAAAGAACTTCAAATTGGTTATATGATTTGAATTTATATTCAATTTTTTGCTTTTGTGCAATACACTATGCTGTTGCGAATTGACCCCCCCCAAAAAAAAAAAAAATTTTACCCCGGTTTTTGGCTTGTGTGCAATACACTATACTGTTGAATATTAACCCCCAAAAAAAAATATTTGAAGAAATTTTCTTTTAATTTCTGAAATCTGAAATGAGAAAAATTGTCCCCCCTCCAATTTTTTTCACCTCCCCCTTCCCCTTATTCCCCAAAAAAAATCTTTCCCTCAAGATATGGTCAGTATCTCAATTCAAATTTCTAATGGAGTTTGCAATCATAATTACCCATTTAAATACATCATAAAAGTTAGAAAAATATAAAATGACATACATGTACATAGTCATGGCTAAAATTAATATTAATTAGTAGTAGCTGCTAAAAATAAATTGACAGCTAATCACCTCAAGACAATCATCATTTCTTAAAACATAATTTACAAGCAGTGTAAGGGATATAATCAATCAGTGTTCTTTTAATTGATTTGGATTACCTCCCTTGCACTGCTTTTAAATTGTCTCAATTGTCCTTTAACCAGAAAAACCCTTTTTTTGCCCCTAATTACTAATTTGTTTGAGCCATAAACCCCCAAAGTCAATCTTACCATCCCTTTGTAGTATGGAAACTTGTGGTATAATTTCAGAGAGATTCATACACTTTAACACAAGTTATTGTCTGGAAACTACAAAAATGCTTATTTGGGCCCCTTTTGGCCCCTAATTCCTAAACAGTTGGGACCATAAACCCTAAAATCAATCCCAACCTTCCTTTAGTGGTTATAAACCTTGTGTTAAAATTTTATTAATTTCTATTAACTTATACTAAAGTTATTATCAGGAAACCATCTGTCTTGGGACGACGCTGACGACGATAGTAAAAATTTTTAATTTTTGTGGTCGTATAAAAATTGCTGAATTTTTGTTTCTAATCTCTAACTGTAACTTGCTTCAACCAAATGTTATGAAACATATACACAATGCTCATTACCACAAAACACATATAGAGTTTGAATTTTGGTGGCATCACTTTTACAGTTCAAGAGTTATATACTTAGCGGGGGCATCATCTGTGTCCCTATGGACACATTCCCCATTTATTATTGTACGTCCCAAAATTGGTTTCCGTTCTCTAACTTCAGTTTGCCTCAACCAAATGTTATGAAACTTAAACACAATGCTTATTACCACAAAACACAGATCAAGTTTAAATTTTGGTGGCGTCACTTTAACCGTTCTAGAGTTATGCCCCTTTATAAATGGAAAAATTGCAAAATTTTTATTTTCTTCTATCAAGTAATTTTTATATGACCGCAAAAAAATTTTTGGGATCGTATAATGGTATGATGTCTGCATCGTCGTCGGAAGACACAGTGTTCTCCCCAAGCAGTGTGTGTAAGTTTCATAACATTTGGTTGAGGCTAACTCAAGTTGAGAACAGAAACTAATAAAATGCTCCGCTGGACGCAGCTTGATATGACCGCAGAGGTCGAACCCTGAACAGTTGGGGCAAGTATGGACACAACATTCAAGCTTGATACAACTCTGAATTTGGATTGTGATTAAATATTTGACACAGCATAGGTTTCTGACACAGAATGAATGTGGTCTAAGAACTTAAAAAATTTTAATTTACCTATTATGGTCCAATATCCAAAATCTAAATACATACACTGTAAGATTCAGCATATCAAAGAACCCCAAGAATTCAATTTTTGTTAAAATCAAACTAAGTTTAATTTTGGACCCTTTGGACCTTATTGTAGACTAGACCAATTTGAAAACAGGACCAAAAATTAAGAATCTAAATACACGGTTAAATTCAGCATATCAAAGAACCCCAATATTTCAATTTTTGATGAAATCAAACCATATCATTATTATTTGCTTTTATATATAAATAAAAAATAACCAACATAAAATGGAAAATTTTAAAGAAAAAAAAAGGAAAAAAAGGAAAAAAAAAATCCCCCATCAATTTTTTGAACCCCCTTATGATTCATCATCCCCAAACTCAATCCCAGCCTTCTCTTTGTGGTATGGTACCTTGCAGTACAATTTCAGAGAGATCCATACACTTGAACACAAGTTATTGTCTGGAAACTGTAAAAATGCTTGTTTTTTGGCCCCAAATTCCTAAACGTTTAGGGCAATTACTCCCAAACTCAAACCCAGCTTTCCCTTTGTGATATGGAACCTTGTAGTACAATTTCATAAAGATCCATACACTTACACACAAGTTATTGTCCTGAAACTAGAAAAAGGCTTGTTTTTTTGCCCCTTTTTGGCCCCTAATTCCTAATATTTTGAGGCAATTACCCCCAAAATCAATCCCAGGCTTCCCTTTGTGGTATGGAACCTCATG